TCGAGGACCTCCGGGGACTTTTCTGAGAGCCTGTGCTAGGCCCCTTTTATGGGGCAGGGGATTTGGGGCTGGGAGGATCCCAGAGATGGGCAGCTGCACCCGTAGGAGCAGTGGGTGGAGTTAATCAGCATGGGTGGAGCTATGTCAGTGTAGGTGGAGCCAATCAGTGTGCGCAAAGCCAAGAGACTAAACTTCAGTTTCCATTCTTGGCATTGGGAGTGGTGGGTACCCTGTGAGTACCAGGGACTCTGGTTTGGCCGCCCAGGCCAGGTGCTCTTCTGAGCAAGGCCTTGACCCTGGCAAGGGGAGGCTGTGACACTGGATGGGACCTGAGAACCCAGGCAGGCAAGGAAGAAATGACCTTTCCTGCTTGCTTCCCCCCGTGTGTCAGAGCCGCAGGCCTCCAGTCTCTTCCTTTCTCTAGTCTGCCCGTCTCTTGTGCAAGCCCCACACCTAGTGACTGCGGCAGCTTGGGCAGGGGTTACAAGGCACACCTACATGGACCCTGGGTCAGCGAATGGCGGAGACGCGGGTTGGATGGAAGTCATCCCTTGGGGCCTGGGTGGTGCTCACACACTGCGCAAGGGCTTTTCTGGCCCTGGCCAGATCCCCTGCAGGAGATGGTCCTCCAGGGTGGCCTTGAAAACATGGCAAATCTCGGCTGGGCAAGGCACGATGCTTTTACATGGGCCCCTGCCCCACAATCTCAGCGCTGCTGCTCACGGAGGCTGCCCACAGCTCAGCTTTTCCCCACCCAGCCTTCCTGCCCCAGGACTCTGAAAGGCTGCTCCTGTACCCGGCTGGGCACACACTCCCACCCTCTGCCCCCTGAAACCGTCCATCCATCTCCTGCCTTCCCCACCTCGGGACACCTAGGGGACTGCAGGCTATGGGGTGCTGTGCTTTGCTACCTGCTGCATCTTATCCTCTGGCAGCAGTAACATGGTCATTAGTTGCTGAAAGAAGAAAATGAAGCCCGACGTGGTAGTGCACACCTGTAATCCCAGCATTCTGGGTGGCTGGGTCAGGAGGGATCACAAGTTCAAGGCAAGTGTGGGCAACGTCCGTGAGACCCTGTCTCAAAATTTAAAAATTTAAAAAAGGGCCTAGGATGTAGCTCAGTGTGACAGCCCTGAATTCAATCCCCAGTACTAGAATGGGGGTGGGGGGATGAAGATCATCCAGGAGTCAGTTTATAGTTCCCATTTTAAGGAGACAGCCAGGTGTCAGAGATGTTGAGTGTGTAGTTCTGAGAGCCCCCATCTGTCCCTAACACCCCCTCTTTGAGTCCCCGATGGTGCCAGGACCAGGTTTGCACAGCATGTCTCTGGCCACAGGAACTTTGCACAGGAAGCTCTGTAAGGCCAGCAGCAGGTACTGGCAGGACTGCCTGTGACCTGGACTCAGGGCCCCCTCATCCCTAGACCTGTCACCTCCCCCCTGATCCTAACCTGCCAACTCTGCACTCCCCCTGCCTGGCATTCCCCCCCCCCCCGCCAGCCCTTTCCCATATTTCCAACTAGAGAGAGGAAGTGAGGGAACCAGGGCCCAGTGGGCTGCTGCCAGAGGAAGTTGGAACAGCCGGGGCTCCACACCCAAGGGCACCTTGTGACTGTCAGGCAGCCCTGCCTAGAGTTCCCTGGACCCCAGACTGCCAGCTTATTGAGTCTTTTCTCTTCCTTCCTACCTACCTTCCTTCCTTCCTCCTTCCCTCCCTCCTTCTTCCCTCTCTCCCTCCCTCTTTCTGTGTGTGTGGTATTAGAGATTGAAACCAGAGTTTTCATACTGAGTTACATCCTTAGCTCTTTTTTATTTTTTATTTTAAGACATGTTCTCACTAAGTTGCCCAGGCTGGGCTCAAATTTGCAATCCTCCTGCCTCAGCCTCTTGGAGTGCTGGGATTACAGGCATGTGCTCCTGGCAAGTGTGTCTGTCTTATCTGCTCCTTCAGGCCAGCTGTCACCACTGCTCTTGGGGATGGGATGCAGAGGAGGACATCCAATGAGCACTCAGGGCTGCCCAGCCTTGGGGCTCTACTCTGTTGTGTCTGGAAGGAGGAGAGCAAGTTGCCTGCCCTTGTGGCCCTTGTGAGTCGAGATAACCTGGTGCCCCATTCTAACTCTACAAGAAAGGAAGAAACACAGAGTGTTTTGGAAGTTCAGGGAGGGCACGGTCACTTTTGAGACTGGAAGGTAGCATGGATGCGGTGATCTGGGTGCTGAAGGGTGCATAGGGCTCCTTGGGACAGTGAGGAGGACCGCAGAGCCACTGAAGGTGTGCTCAGCGTCTCTCACTGACCTGTGGTCCCTGTGGAGCAGTCTGGTCCGTAATGTGGGACCTCCCGGCTCCCTGGGGACAGGAGTGAGCCTGAGAGGTCCCAGGCTTGGCAGGAGGGAGGCCTGGCAAGCAGGAGCAGGCTCAGTCCTTCGCTGTCTGTCTGTGCTCAAGTAGCAGGTGTCGAGCACAGCCTTGGTGACTGCACCCCTGATGAACCCAGCTATAGATGGCGCCAACACAAGACTTGCCACCTTTGGGCAACCTCATCCTGTGCAGGGTTCTGGCTCAGCCGGTGCTCCCACCCTGTCTGCCTCATCAGGGCAGCCTGGCTCCTCCCTGGGGGGTCCCAGCCAGGGCCCCAGCTCAGTGAGGTCAGGGGACGCGTATTCCAGGAATGCGGGAGGCAGGGTGGTGCCTGCGGATAAGGTCTGGATAACCATCAGAGGTAAATATTTGCCTTGCTCCTGAGCCTGCCCTGGCCACCGAGGGGAGGATGGGCCTGTTTCCCAAAGGTCGTGTCAGGAGACGCCTACCCAGTGGGTCTCCAATGAGGAAGCCCCTTCCCCCTGGGAGTGTGGGGAGGACTGGGGCCGGATCTGCTGCCCTTTGGCCCCTTTGTGAAATGGGGCCTGGCCTAATGCAGTGTGGCCCAAGCCGGTTCAGGGCGGTTCTGCAGGTCTGGCGGGCAGTGGGAGCTGCTCACGTGCCAGTGGATCTGATCCCCTCCACCCGGCTGTGTGTGACCTTGAGCTCAGGGTCCCTGTCTGCCAAGCTCTCTCACTTGGACACCTGTTTCTGCTGCCCTGGTCACAGGGTACATGTGTGCACTCATGCTGGGAGGACTCGGGTGTCCCTGCTGTGCCCAGCAGAGCACCCAGCGGCCATGTGACCCTGTGCCCTGGCCAAAGTGCAGCGTCACCCAGTCAGCCTGGAAGGAAAATGAATCCTGCTCAGAAAGGAGACGGGGCTCAGAGAGGCAGAGTGACTCCCTCAGGTCAGGAGACAGCACAGCAGGGATTCGGCTTCCACTCTGCCCAGCCCAGTCCGGGGACTGGGGCCCGACCCGGTGCCTCAACCATACCCACACCCTGTTCCTCCTTGGGGATCCGCAGAGGAGATGTGGCACGTTGGCATACGTGGCTTGGGGAACCATCTTAGTCGTAGGACAGTCCCCACCCCAGAGGCCTCTGCCTTGCCCAGGACAGGATGGCTACTCTCCGGCAAGCCCATCTTCCCTTGGAGCTTCAGGGCCCTGCTGGGCACCTGTGCCCTGCCCGCCCTAGGGGCTGCAGCCATCTGCGGCTGCGCACTGCTCCCTGCCATGTTTACCACCGTGGACTGTGCAGGCCAGGGCCAGCCAGGGACGTATGTCTCTGTGCTTCCTCCCCGTCTGTCCAGCTGGCCAAGCCCACACAAGCTGGGAGCTTTAGGGGAGGGCTGGGTGGGTGAGGTGCACTCTGCTGCCTCTGTCATTGCCCTGCCCCAGCTCCCGAGTCTGCCCCTGCAAGCTTGGGGCAGGGAGCGTCTTCATCCCCACAGGGTACTCCAGAGCTCCTTAGCTATGTGACCTCAGGAAGCTAGAGAACCTCTGAGCCCTGCATGCAAATCGTGGCAGCTTCTTTTCTTGGACGAGGCCACTCCAGGTCCTCTTCACCCTGTGACGTGTTGTGACCTCAGTCTGGGCCTCTACTTCCCCTCTGTGAAAGGAAGATTTAGGGGCATGGAGCCCAAGGGCTCTTTATGTTCAAGATGGCAGCATTTGGGGGTAGGAGGTGAGGTCATTGCCTTTTGTGGTGGCAGGGTGGGGACACTGGGCCCAGTGAGGTAATCCGTGCCTCGCTGTGTGTCTTACCCTTACACCGTCCACCCATCTGTATAAGGGGCATCCCTAATGCCCCCACAGTCAGGAAACTGAGGCACAGGGAGTTTTAAGAACCATGTCCCAGCCACACGCTGTGTAAGAGCATGAAACAGCTTCTGAACCACACCCTCTTCATCGATGATGTCAGGCACCGGGCCTTGTTGGGGGACCCTGGCCTGCTGCATAGTGAGGTGGCCCCCAGCCCCAGGTGGTACAGAAGCGGAAGTGGGGGAGACAGTGGCCCATCACGGCCTCTGCAGCCTCAAGCCTTGGCCCCACCCCATCTCAGCCCCTCCTTGTTGCTTCTTCCCACTGCTTCTCTGCCCCTCCTGGGCCCTGGAGCGGCCTCCATGGTCTCCCTGCCTCGCTGCCTCCGGAGCCCTCTCCCTCCTCAACCCTGCAGGTCGTCCCAAGCCAGAGCCCTCAGCTACTCTGAGTCCATGAATCGCCTGCCCCTCCCAACCTCCCCCACATCCCACTCTTAAGGCCTCCCCTGGGCTGTGCTTTCTTCCCCTGCCTTTGTCTCTTCAGTTCTGCCTGCCTGGAGTGCTGCTCCCTGTAACTTGGCTTGACTCACCCTGCCTCAGCCTTCAACTTCACTTCCCTTAAATAAGACGCTGTGACCTTGTGTGCTGTGCAGCCCCTGCACCTTTCTTTCGGTTGGGTGTCACTTTAAATTTCATATTGTTTAAAATGTTGCTGAGGAGCCCTGTCACAACGCTGGGGTCTGTGACGTATGTGTTGAGTGAATGCCTGACTGCCCTTCAGGGACAGTCTGTGGCTGGGGACTTGACCGCAGCTGGGGGCTGTGGCTGCGTGGCATCTCGGGCTCCCTTGACCTTGATCCCTGCTCTCTTTGTAGGAGGAGGATGGAGCTGGAGTGAGGGCCTCGAGCTGCTGACCGGCGCCAGGGACACTGGTGACGCACTGCACAGACCACAGAGGTAGGTGTGCACTGTCAGCCCAACCTCAAGTCCACATGTAGCCAGACTCCTGACTCAGGGACAGGGTGGGACACCTCTGTGTCCCAGTGGTCCCTCCTAACACCCAGAGCCCTGCACCTCTGTGGCCTGGTCTGTCTCTGGTGTGGCTGCTGGGAGTGTACCTGGGAGAAGGTCAGGCCTGCCCGTGCCACCCTGAGTTTGCAGGTACGTGGGCCACTGCGCTGAGCCGGGCAGAAAGCAGAGTGGTACAGTCACCATCATGGCTCACAGATGCTGAGGTGGCACTGCGGGGGTAAATCCTGACTCTGGTGCTTGTCTGCTGTGACCTTGTACAGTTGTTCCGGGCCTCAGTTTACCTGTGTGTTAGTGGGGATGGGTGCAGTGCCTGCCCTGCTGCTGTGTCGAGGGAGCTGCCCACCTGGAACACAGCAGCCTTCAGAGTGTGTCAGCCCTCCTGTCCCCCCAACCCTGGCCACACCGTCCCCTTCCCCTGGTGCACCCACCACCCTGAGAGACACAAAGTGGGCCCTGGCCTGAGCAGGGGACCCAGCTCCTCAGGAGCTCCTGAGACTGCTGGGGGACAGCAAGTCCTGAGGCTGAGCCTCATCCACAGCCTCTGCCTGGACACCATTGTCTCATCACTGGTGGCGTTGGAGGGTTGGTTGCACCTGGTCACGTGCCAGATGGCGACCTGTGCAGACTTCAACCCACAGAGGAGAGGATTCGCACACATGCACATTCAGCCCAGGCCTCTTTGTCCCAGAGCACCTTGCCAGCCAGAGAGCTAGGACGCCCTTCCCCAGCACAGAGGCCTCACCTGGGGCCGTGACACCCTGGACAGCACAGTGTCCCCAAGGGGGGTGGCAGAACTGAGCCGTCATCGCTCCGGAAGCGGGGTGCCAGGCTGTCTACTTCCTGCTGCTGGACTCCCAGGTCCCTGTGTCTGTGTCTGTATCCCTTGGGCAAGTCCTTTCCTTGCTGTAGGATATCGTCTAAAAATGAGGACAATTGTGATACCATTGTGAGTGACAATGCTCAAGAAACCAAGAATACTTTGTTTTATTTTTAGGGTTTTTTTGGAGACGTAGTCTTGTTACATAGCCCAGGCTGGCCTTCAATGTGCTATCCTCCTGCCTCAGTCTCCCAAGCACTGGGATTAACGGCATGGACTACCATTCCCAGCTCTATGAATACTTTTTTAATCGTACATCTTGCTGGGCATGATGGAGCCCACCTATAATCCCAGCCCTTGGGAGGCTGAGGCAGGAGGATTGCCATGAGTTCAAGCCCATCCAGAGGTTTAATGTGGCTAAGAAATCCATTGAACTGTAACTGTCAGGGGTGGGGATTTGAACTGAGGTCCTCAAAACTATGCAGTCAGAATGCCTCAGAGACGTGGGACAGAGCCACAGGGCAGTCACTTACGCAGCCCCTGAGCCTGCTGCTCCCTGGACCCAGAAGGTGCCCCCAAAGGTTGGCAGTGAGCCCTTTCTCGGGGGCCTTCTCGCATTCCAGTCTGCTAGGGGAACCCACTGCTAATTGTCAGGTAACCTTTGAAATTCTCCTTCACGGTGGGTTCTCTTTTCCGATGTTTTTCAAGGTAATTCATTCCCTTTCCAGAAATTGCCAGTGGTGGAGCATGAGGCAGCTGGTAATTAATCATAAGAGTGGCTTCGAGTTTATTCTTTTAAAAAAAAAAAAATAAGTAAGGAACCGAAAGCCTTGGTGGGAGAAAAGAAAACTGCTCCAAGGCAGTGGTGGTAATGAGTACCTCCACGTCCTAGAAATGGCTGGGCTGCAGGTGGTGGAGTGGCGATGTCTCCCTTCCTCCTGGGCCTGGCAGATCGTCACTGTGGGCCGCAGTGTGAGGCTTTCGTCCTAACCTTTGGTCCCCTTGTGTCTCTGGGAAGCCACTGCCTCTCCCTGGACTCCGCTCTGCCACCTATCAAATGGGTGAAGGGACTACAGTGGCTGAAGACTAGAGAAGCATACTGGATGATGTCCCTCTGTTGCCACATCCTGCTGCAGCTGCCCCAGGGATGTTTTACTGAGCAAGATGCTTCTCCCGTGTCTCGGGTACCAGTCCTCCGTGGAGAAGGTGATACAGCCTGTGGCTCAGGGGCAGCCAGGGCAGTGAGCCAGGGGACACTGGCCAGGGGACCTCGGTGCCCATGGTGGCAACCATGCTGTCCCCTTGGTGTTTTCACATTCGGCTCTCCAAGAGACCGAGCTGTTGGAATTGATTATTTTATTTTTTTTAAAGCTGTTCCTTGGATGGTATGAGAGTTCCTTGTTGCTAAATGTGCATGAGGTGGAGTTGGGTTGGCCCAGGACCCTTGGGCCATAGGCTGGCCAGGGCCCTGTAACATCCCTGAGTCTGAGAGAGAGGAAGAGACTCTGAGATGGGCACTGGGGAGACTGGGTGAGCAGGGGTAACCTGTCCTCTCCCAAGCCCTTTCCTGAGCCCCCGGGGAGCCCCACTGCAGACCCACCCCTGCCCCATGGACACAGTGTGAGGTCTTGCTGGCTGGGTGAGGCATGCTGCCCTCTGGCCCTGCTGTGGGCCCAGTTCTCTCCCCAGAAGCCCAGCACAGTGTCCCAGTCCCCATGGGGGCCCAAGGAGGTGCTGGGTTTTTCGGGGGAGCACAGGCGTGGGTGGTGTGGGCCCGCTATGGTGCAGTGGGGAAGCTGTCTGGCCATACGTGACCAACTGAGGAGCAGGGAGACCCCAGTGTGCCCAGACCCCCGTGGAAAGCTTCCTGTTGAGACTCTCAAGCTAACCTGCATTCAACCGGCCAGGGTGGCCCTGCTGCACACGAGGGACCCACTGAGGGGCAGCAGTGGGGCATCCCGGCCCCAGAGCTCTGGCCTTCCCTTTTCATCAGCCAGTCTCTCTTTGGACTCCCTGAGTCCCGAGTCTGCCTGGACCTCTGCATGAGTGTGCATGTGTGTGCACGTGTGTATGCTCCTGTGTCTCCAGGCTCTTGCAGGCATGGGCAGTGTTCTCCATCTCTCTGCCTCTTCCTGTCACTGTCTTTGTTTCTCTGTGGTCCCACGACACCCACTTCCACTCCACGGTCACCCTGCGCACATGTCCCCTTGAGCCCAGGACCTCCACGCCTCCCTCAGATCTGCTCCTACTGGGTCCCCCACAGCGAATCTGCTCTGTGTCATCCTCCTGTCCTCTCCCACCCTGCCGCCCCTTGGAGGTGTCCAGGCGTCATCCTGCACTCCAAGCTGCTCAGAGGCTATGCTCAGGGGCCGGGCCCACTTGGGATGGAGCCCACCAAGGCTGCCCAGAGACAGTGGGCCTGTGCAGGGGGCGGCTGGAAACCTGGCATTTTCCCCAGCGCTAATGAGATTCCGGCTATAATTAGAAGTCAGGTGTCAGGAACAGCGGCCTGTAGGGAGGGTGGGTGAGCTCAGGAATAAACACTGCCCTCCCCAGGGGAGAGTATGCTGGAGAGAGGGGGTCCTGGGTTATCTCAGTGACGTGGATGAGCCCCAGGAGCTCCCTCTGTCCCATTCCCCTCCATGGTGTGGGGTCATCCTTGTCCTCGCAGTGCTCCATGGTCCCGACGCCTGCCCCAGTCCATGATTTCTGCATGTAGCAGGCACAGCTCCACCCCCAGGGCCCTAAGCACTGGCTCCCCTCCTTCCCACATGCCCTTCTCTCCGCCCTCCATGCTGGTTGGGTGGCCGTGGCTGCTGCTTATGGACTATACATTGGAATGATGATCTGTTGGATACACCACCGTTTTCACACCAAGTCTTGGAAACTGCAAGTGTTTGCTATGCACGCCGAGTCTTCACGTCTTCTGTTACCGCACAGCCCCACAGTGGCTCCTAACTACATAGTGGATGGGCTAGGCTCAGAGGGGCCGGCTTCTTCGCTTCCCAGGTGGGGAAACTGAGGCTGGGGGAAGGCAGGGTTGTGGGAAAGAGCTTGCTGAGCACATGCTCTCCTTAGAGACCAGGGCCCCCTGTCCTGCAGCACAGGAAGGGGCAGGCAGGACCATGGCAGGAGCTCACAAAAGCAGTCAGGGGACAAATGTTGGTAGAGGTTCCACCACCCCTACACCCCCATGGGTTGCAGTGAGCTGGAGCTGCCTGCACCTCATCTCCAGACAGCCTCAGACCATGACAGCCACATGACCAAGACAGGCAGTGCCCCATGGGAACCAGTCCTGGCTTCCAGACAGTGAGCATTCAAGGAAACAGGGGGTCAGAGGGTGAGAGCCACCCCAGGAAAGTAGGACACCCTCCCTTGCCAGCCAGGACTCCGTCTGATTTGCGGAGGTGCCCAGAGGGCTTGCCCCACTGAACCTGATTTCCACGTGTAGAAGATACTGGCTTTAAGAGTAGGAAGGGGAAGACAGGAATTCCCTCCTGGAGATGGGGTTCTCTAGAGGTAAGGTGTCTCCCTGGCCCCTCCAGAGGCTCTGCCCTCCTAAGCAGATTTTCCTCTTCGTTCCCAGGAGCCCCCTAGGCTGCCCTTGGATGCTCGCTCCATTTCTGTCCTCTTGTTTGCCTCTTTCCAGGCAGTGTGTCAGGGAGTCAGGGAAGGGCCAGGCCCCAGGCTTCTCTCCTTCCATGGGGACAGCCACTGCCTGCCCAGGGGAGCTCCATGTGGGCCTTGCTTACTGTCCCAGCCCAGGGAGACTTCTGTCCCCTTCGGTGGCCCCTCCAACCCCAGACCTGGCCTTGCTTTGCAAGTCCTGCTGGACTGTAGCTCTGTGAAGGCTCAGGACAGGCTCTGAGCCGAATCCCCAGGCAGTGACATTGGTGTGGTCCCCACTGGTGTCCTCCACCCTGACTGCTGGGTGAGCTGTGCCCCCGAGAGCCTTCCAGAGACGTGGAGAGCTGACTGCTTAACACAGAGCAGGGAGTCGGGGCTCTCCAAGCCTCGGGGAACACTCCTCTCACATCTACCTCCAGGTCCGCGCATCTCACCCTCCACAGCTATGGTTTGGGGGGCCGCATATCTTGCCTCCCAGCTT